AGTTAACACACTATAATTTTAAGATTACTGCTCATCATTAAAGACAGTGAAACAAGACTATACAGAGTCTATGGCCATGCTAATGACTGTAGGCTGTAGTTAGGCACTACGTTGCTTTGAGCCAAATGCTAACATAATACACAATACTAACATGCTGATGTTTAGCAGATGTTTATCGTGCCCAACGACTTAATTTAATGTGTTAGCAAACTAACATTTGCTAATTGTGGGAATGCTAATTTGTTGATGGTGCAACAAGAAAAGAGTATCATCAAAGCTATTACAATTCATCATCATTTTCATGATTTCATGACTCTGAACCACAGACGTCAACCTCATGTTGGCGCTACGGCATAAATCAAGAGGGAATCATTTGGATTAATCCTCTGGGGACCATGAGTGTCCACTGTTGTTGACATATTTTAGTCAGTACCAGACATCAGACCAACATTGCCATCTCGGTGTGGACTTTTTTTTAATCCAAAATAAATCCAAAATTTGATTGATTCAAATTGCTGACTATATCCAACAAGTCTATAAATGTCAACTCGCCACAAGCGACAGTTTTTCTTTAACAAGCCAACACACGTTTTTATTAAATATACCTCAAATAGAATATAAGTATTTTTTCTGTCTTATGAAAGAGTAAAAACAGTAATAGAAATAGTATTATAAATATGTTTGTGATCAATGAAATTATTACTAATAATATATAATAATGTTTGTGGAGAACATTATCTGTTTATATTACTGATACTCAACAGAATCAACTTTATTCTCACATATACAATCATACACAATAAAACACTGCAAATGCAATTTGTAATCTGCAGTTAACACCAACATGTCCAACAACAAGTCCTAACAAGGAGTACTGGGCAGCCACTGCACGGCACTCAGGGACCAACTCCACATCGAAGTCAGTGCCTTGACTGGAGAATTAACCTAACATACATGTTCTGATGGTGGGGGAAACCAAAGTAACACAGAAAGGCTCTGTCCCAGCTGTGAGTCGACAGTGTTAACCCCTGAACCCAGGCCTGCCCATGCTGCAAAGAGGTTGTGTTCACATTATTTTGTCCACCCCCCCATGTCAGTCAGTAAAATAAGAAAGTACTAGTTCATCTGTGTTCTCATTACATAATATTATTAACTGTATTCATTATTAATCCATTGATCAGCAGAATACCTGCCAGTCAATTCTGAAATCTGATTGGTTCGTATCAGATTAATCATCCAATCCTCTGAGGATAATGTCAGCAGAGCTCAGTACCTTACACTCAGAGTAACATCACACACACACACACACACACACACACACACACACAGATTGAATCCATACCATGTCTGTTATAAACCGAGCTGATACAGTGCAGCAGAGTTACCAGTTTGTCCTCCTTGTCGACCGTAGAACTGCAACTACAACAATCCCCTGAAGCACATTCATTATATAAAAATAAATTCATTATTTGTTGAACTTTCCCAGAGCTTAGAAAGTGTATTGGTGCGTAGGGATGAAACAATTAATCAATGAAGCCATAAATGAATCAACAGAAAATGAATTAACTATTTTAATAAAGAGCCATGTCTGAGTCTCTGTTACACCGGCTCCACGAGCACAATGCAGCCTTTCATTCAGCATTTCTTTTATCGGTCTGTTTGAAACCAGTGTGTGTTCCTGGGGTTTACTTTCCAAGACAAATCAGCCTCCGCTACAGCAGTTACTATTAGAGACTGGAGACGGAAGGACAGACAGACACGTCCCAGCAGGTGGACAAATATGAAAAAAACTAATTTCTTGATGAGATATATTAATCCACTTTAATCAACAGAAATATTTAAATCCATCCAGACTTCTTGTTTTATTTATCCATCCAGATGGTAACCTACAGCCCAGCTTTAGACAGTATACAGAAGGCTGTTTATTTGAAATTCAAACTTAAATTAACATTAATAATTGTGTGATCCCTTGTTCACAATATAAAACACTGCATGTGATATGTTCACTTGGGATTCATAGCCACAAACCTTTTTTTTTTAAGGACTGATCTGTTCCACATAATCACTTTATTTGGATTTTACCAGTAGTTTAAAAATACTGTTACTATTGAAAAATATGGATTTTTTTCATTAACCAACTATTGACTGTTGAATGTCCAATAATAATAATAATGAGGGAGATTTCATTGCAAAAACAAACATATAATCATGGAACATATCACCTTATTATAACAAAATAACAAACAATCCAGCAGAACATACAGTAAACAGCTCTGAACCACTGATCCATCAGGAAATAGTTATATATGATGATAGCTGATTAACCCCCCCCTCTCTGTGAAATACCCTGCTGTTATCAAATACCAAATACCCAAAAGCACCCACCCCTCTTCCACCAGGAGAGGCCAGCGTCCATATGTCAGGGTCACAGTGTGTGTGTGGCTGTGGTCTGTTGTTGATGCTTCACTCTCTGCTCATTGTGTTCATTTCATTTTGTGAATATTAAATATAAAAGTGTGCTTTAAGCTTTAAACATACCTGCAGGACACGTTTTCCTCATATTTAGACATTGTGTGTGTGTGTGTGTGTGTGTGTGTGTGTCTTGTTTTCATTTCATCTGCATGAGAAGAAGAATTATTTTCTCAAGTTCAAACTTTTTAATCTCGAACAAATGTGCTTCCATCTGCATCGACTAGACCAAATTAGCATTTTGCCTTTGTGGACAGTAAAGCTGTATTCTATTCAATAGTACTGACTTTATATGCAATGGCACTGCCTCTTAAAATCACTTTAATGTTCTTTGACTTCAGAGATCTGTTATTTTCACTAAATTACAGATCTATTCCCTCTTGAAATTAAATATCATAGCTCCATACATTTTTAACTTTAAAAACTTGATATAGTGGATGTGTTAGCAAACAGTTGCTGTCTCATCCCTGTGCCGTAGCGTTTCTGTCCAACCAGCAAATCTTAAGTCCAATATTCACTCGCTTCAGTTCTGGTTTGGTTTCAACCAACTCCTGAGAAAATATTTGGCTCTTTACCTGCTAAATCTTTTACCTTCTTCACCAGCTAGACGCTAACTTTGTCAGTCAGCCGTTTGGTGTTATCTGCCAATTCTGAGTCATACATTAAATATGTATCTGACACAGTGAAACACCAGTAAACTCCTTTATCTGACACACCTTATTTTCACAAGCTACTTGATCCAAATAGGTCCTGGCTCGAAAATATTAAACTATTAAATCATTTATATAATATAGGGCTGCACAATTATTCAAACTATTATCAAAACTGTTATATGGCTACGTGCAATATGCCAATTGCAGAAGCTAATTTGTAGTTCAAAAGAGACACGTTGGCTTACACATCATGTTCTCCAGATAACATACTGGTTTGAAACACACCGCTAAAATTTTAATAGTTTTTTTGTGTGAAAATTAATTATTTTTATTAAGTAATTAATCATATTAATATCGCAATATCTGTCAGAATAAT